ATGTCATTCATTAACCCAATGTTGCAATTCAGTGCGGGGGGGGGGGCTCTTCCTATTTTGGAGTGTTGTGACTGGCTCCGATTTTCCTAAGTGGACAACAATGAACTTGTTCATAATGCTTTGAAAGCAGTAAATTTTTTCCCAAGCAAAACCCACTCTGGAAAGCCCTTGATGTTATCACTCTGCACACAAAGGAAACATAGACCCGAGCACACTGGATATAGGAACACATGTGACAATTTGAGAACACAGACACACCCAGATGGACATGACCTACAATCCCAGCACTAGGGAGACTAAGGCAAGAGGATCCAAGCTTGAGGCCAGTCTGGGCTACAAAGTAAGATTCTGTCTCAACAAAAAACCAAAAACTCTAAAGTAAACAAAGCTACAGACACAGATATAGCCATACAGACAAATGCTTGTACACACACATACACACACACACACACACACACACAGATGCACAGCTACATAGGCACAAACACCAAAGCCAAACAACATTTTAGCTAGAGAGAATTCTAGAAGTCTTTCAAACCTTTTATCTCCTGATTTTACGGCAGCTCATAGAAGTGAAGGAATCAACCCATGATCACGTAGCTTGTTTTGTTCTTTCTTTCCCTCCTGTTCCTTTCCTACCATCTCTAGATTGTAAATCTAGATCACCGATCTAAAACCCTTCCTCCTAGACTGTGCGTGAAGATATACATCTTTAATCCCAGCACTTGAGAGGCAGAGGCAGGTGGATTTCTGTGAGTTCATGGCCAGCCTGGTCTATAGAATGAGGTCCAGGACAGCTAGGGCTACATGGAAAGACCCAATCTCAACACCCCCTCCAAAGGTTTTCTTGTACTCTGTAGACATTTAAAGCTTTGAATTTCACTAAATGAATATTGCTTTAGCTGTATCCCTAAATGCTGCTGGGTCGTGTGTTCTCCAGTTTTTCTTGTGATTTCATTCACTTGTGGGTAATTCAGAAGTGTGTTGTCTAATTTCTCAACGTTTAGAGCTTTGTTGGGTATCCTGTTCCCAATTCCCAGTTTAGTTCTGCTTTCGTCAGAAGGCATCGCCACATGCACTTGAAAAGAATTCATATCCTGGGATTTATAGGGGGCATTTTACCAACAGTATCAACTAGGTCAATACAGTTGACACGGTTGCTCAAGCCTTCTACAACTTTAAGCATTTCTTTATCTTTTTAACTTATTATTTGTGTGTGTGCATGTGTGTGTGTGTACACACATGTGTACAATGGCATTGGCATGCATGTGTGGTGGTCAGAGAACAATCTTTTAAAGTTATTTCCATTCACTGGGGGTTTTGGAGATTGAACTGATGTAGTCAGGCTATCGTGCTTGCTCAGCAAGTGCCTTTACCCACTGAGCCATCTCAACATCCTGATATATAAGCACCTCTGCTGGAAATCAAACCCAGGACCTACACATGGTACCAGCACTTCACCACTGCTCCAAATGCCCAGTTTTTTGTTTTTATGTATTTATTTTATTTTTGAGACTTATTTTATTTTTTAGAGTCTCTTGTAGCCTTGGCTGTTCTAGAACTTGCTAGGTAGCCTCAAACTCACATGCTTCTCTGCCTACCAAGTGCTCGGAATAAAGATCTGTGACACCATAAGGCCACTGGTTTTTTGTTTTTAAAGTTTATTTATTCTTTCTTTGCTCTGTTTTTTTTTTTTTTGAGACAGGATTTCTCTGTGTAGTCCAGGTGTCTTGGAACTTGCTCTGTAGACCAGGCTAGCTTTGAACTTGGAGATCTGTCTGCTTCTGAGTGCTGGGATTCAGTGCTTGCGCCACCACGCTTGCTTTGTTCTGCTCTCTGTTGGGTTAGAGATGTTCAAACTCTCCCACTCTCCACAAAATACCACATTTTAGGCAGGTAATACTGGTTTATGCCTGTAATCCCAGCCTTGGGAGAGACAAAGGCCAAAGGGTCACCATAAATCTGAAGCCTGGAGCTCCATAGTGAGACTTTGTCTTAGAAAGCAAAGCAAAATTTAAAAAGCCCAACTCCCCCCTACAAAAGAAAATAATCGCACCACATTTTATATGAGTCCGTTTATACAGAATGTCCAGAATATTGCAAATATGTGGAGGCAGATCTTTGCAAGGCTCTGTTTTGTTTTCTGTGTGTATGGGGGGAGAGTGGGCGGGGACGAACGTATGACTGACTTCCTTAACCTATCACAGTACATCCTTAACCTATTTTAGTCTATTTATAGTTACTATTACACCAATATTGCACTTCCCACTTGACACATCCCATTTTCTGTTTCACACCAGTTACTTCCAGTTCACAAATCTACGAGCCCATGACAGTAAAATTTCATTTTCCTACCCCTTCCTGTCCTGCACGACTGTCAGACATCTTGAATGTGGTCCACAGACCAGCACATAGCGTATTTTCCTTTAGTTAGTTGTCTTTTAAAGAAGCTCCAGCAGGAGACAACACATTCTATGTGCGCTCATTCCTAAGTTTTGTTCTCATGGGACCATTTTCCACACTAAATCATGGCATCACTGTAGGCTCTCATGGACACTTGGGGTATTCAGTCTTTGTACATTTTGGGGGGTCTGGGTCAGACGTCTCACATCTTTCAGACCGGTTCAATTCCAGAGTTTTGCCTTCTGTTCCCAGTCACATAGCAGTTGTCCTCAGTAGCCCCACATGCCCTCAACTTGCACACGCCAGGGAAGTCATCCCATACAGGCGACGGCATACCCTTAAGTCTACTCCCTTGTCAGCGGAACAGCGCGCCAATCATTCAGGCCGCTTCAACAGCCCTGAACTCTGGATTTCGCCCCCCTCAGTTCAGCAGGACTCGGCTCTGCTTTTGGTCCACTTTCCTGCACTGCAGTCATGGAACTGTGTCCAAAGCAAGAGCTGGGGAGGTGGCGGCCTCACCCTCAGAGCTCCCGTTCTGTGATGACTGTATTTCCCCCAGTAACCCAAGGTTCTGGTTGAGAGCCAGGGTCAGAGAACAGCCCCAAGCATCTTAGAGTGGAGAGAAGCTACCCTGATAGGCAGGCCTTCTCTGAAGTTTTGATCCACAGTATCTGTGAACTTCATAAAGTCTTGCTTTATTTCACCAAATCTTGGAGGTAGGTTTGTTTCTTTCTTTCTTTTTCTTTTTTGGTTGTTTTTGTTTTGTTTGGTTTTGATTTTTTGATACAGGGTCTCATGTATCCCAGGCTGACCTCAAATTCACTATGCTGCCAAAGATGACCTGAACTTCTGATCCTCCTGCACAGACCCCCCAAGTGTGGGGATTACAGGTGTGTGCCATGGTGCCTGGTTTTATGAGACATAATTTGTCATAGCCATAGTCACTGCCAAACTATTAGGAGCTGCAGTCCTCTGTTGCTTGTTGGCCGGTGCTGGAAATAAATGCTTTACATGTTTTGTTCTGTGCTATTGTTGGAGAGCTAGACTCCTGGCCAGGAGCTCTAAATCTGCAGCTCAGTGCTCTAAGATAATGATGCAGATAATTCCAACATCAACAGTAAAAGAACTTCTTTGGACAGACTGTTTTCTATGCACTAGGTACCAGACTGAGTGTTTTAGATACATAATTTCAGTGAAACCATACAAGAATCTTGTGGAAACAGACATTATGAGTGCCTACTGATTAAGCGGCTTGCCCTGTACATGCAGGTCTGGAAGCCCATGTAAACAATGGACATTGTAACCATGCCCAGAAACACAGATAGACTCTCACACACAACTGTATATACCCACATGTGCTCCTGCATAGACACACGGAGATGTACACCCACTACACATTTCCAGAGCATTTACCCATTTAAAACAGTTTTAATGACCAGAGTTTAAAATCCCCCTCCCCCAATTTATGTTAAACAGATTGAGTCCCTACTCAATCTGCTAGATATTAAGTTTCCCAAGCATACCCCAAGATGAAATTCTCACCATCTGGGTCCACCACAGGCATGGGCGGCAGAGATACTGCCTCTGTTCCTCTGCCAGAAATTGCCTAGGGGGAGGTGGGGTGGGACTCTTAGCAAGACTTGGCCTTGTAGGCAGAAGCCTTCTCCTGGCACCTCAAGACTGCACTTGATGCTGTAAGAGCAAATCCAGAGAGACAAGCGAATCCTTATATGCGAAAGCAGAGAGTGCCTCCTCTATAGCAAAGGGAAGGGCTGACTGAGTTGAAGGGCAGATTGCCTGGTCCTTTCCAGATATCCCCAAACCGTGATGGGAACTAGTGAATGAAAGGAGTCTGGGGCAGGGGAGCAAGGACCGGCACAGAACCTGGACTCAAGTGTTGAAAGTTTATTTCATCTTTTCTTACAATAGTGCTATTCTTGAGAGGTGAAAAGAACAGAGAAACGCTTTCGTGTGTGCGTGTGCGTGTGTGTGTGTGTGTGTGTGTGAAATTGGTATTAGCACAAAGTGGAAAACAGACCCCTTACACTAATCCTCATTCCACTTCACTAAGGTTCTCCACTGTACTACCAGGTAGTTGAGAAAAGTGAAAAGAAAAATCTTTTGAGGCTTACCTCTGCCACCTTTTCTCACTTTCGGTCCTAAAGCACTATTTAAAGCTCCCTAATACCGGCCTCTGCAGACTGTCCCCGTTTGACGGATTAAACTAGTTTTTTAAAGCAGTTTAAAAGGCTTGCTTTCGCTAGGCAAGCCAGGAGGCCACGGTTGCTCTGGCCAGTCAGCAGTACCCATTGCACTACACCCAGGGTGCGGGACATTGCATGGGTGAGCGGCTTAGTCGCCCCAGCTTAGCGGTAAGGTGGAGTTCTCTCTAGGCTCTAGCCTGCCCGACTGTCCCGTCTGGTGGCTGTCTCTTGACCCTGCTAGTCAGTGCAGGATCGCAGGCCTGCAGCTCTGGCACAGGGAGAAATCCTGTCCCGTCTCTTTGTGTGCAAGTTATCAGAGCGAGGGCACTCAGTTGGTCGCTCGGAGGGGACCGTGGTTGGTGTTCCCCTCTCCGCCGCGGGCACAAACCGTACCTCTGCCTCCTCGCGCAGCTTCGGGTATCCTAGCCGGGCGGGCTGTGCATCCCGGCAGCCCCACAACATCAGCGGCAGGGCGCGCAGCAGGAGGCTCACGCCAGTCACCATCGCCGCGAGCTGCGGGTTGCTAGTGGTCAGCTGTGCCCGACTCCCGCGAATGCCAGTTTGTTGTGGTCCACGGGCGGACCTGCCAGCTTCCGGGGCTCCCGAGAGCCCTGCTTCCCCGCCGGCCGAGGTCGTCCTGCACCCGCGATGCCCGCACGCCGGTCGGCCGGCCGGAGGACTGAGAGGGCGGAGGGGAGGGAGTGCCGGGCGCTGCCCCACCCACCAGCCCAGCAGCTCGCCCAAGACTCTTCCGCCCGCGGTGCAGCCTCGCCCGGCGCCTGCTGCCACTCTCCTCCTTGGTCCCGGTCTCTCCAGGAAGGACCCGAGCGGATAGGTCTCCTAGTCCTTCAGTTACCTAGGACTTTGGTAAAGAAGGATCCTGGCTTGCGCAGGGCAGGGCTTGTGGTTTCAGTCAGGTGCGGGTCGAGGTCACTGTGAGAGAAGCCAGGGCTGGAGTCAGGGAGTTGGGGGCTTGAAGTTTGACACCGGCTTCTTTGGAAATGCTCTGAGTCTCGCCCCAGCCACCAGCAGGCTGTGTAGTTTTGGGTTACTCACCCTTTTTGAACATCTTATCATGTGAAAATAGAACATCTTATCATGGGGAAAAGGATAGATTTGGGGCTTTGGGGGAAGATTCGATGATAATACCTGCGCATAAGCAAGCATGATGCCTGGTATTACGCGGAACACAGTAAATGGCAGGATGCAGTGGTGACACCTTTGGCAAAGTGTCGCTTTCTTCATGAGTAAAAAGAAAGTATATGACATTTAGTACTCAGAATAGCATGAAAACGAAGGGCATACATCCCCCAAACCTCCATTTAACCTACACAGTGAATGAGAACGGAACGGAAAGATTTCTCTGGCTGCCATTGCTACACATATACTGAGCGAACGTGAACTCCATCACATCTACTGCTGAGAATGTCAGGCGCTGTGTCAGTCCACTCGCCTGTTAAAATGTAAATGGGACCAGGATGTCGCCCTTCTGGAATTAGGTGAGAGTTGCAGAAATAATCTGCAATCTATTAAATGCTAAGCAAAAGTAACTCAGTGTTCTGAACCCTGAGGCTCAGGGCTTCAATCGCTCTCAAAGTTTTGTGCTATTAGAAAAAGACACTACTGGGGTAGAGGAGTTGGAAAAAGTTCTTGAATTCACATCTTATAAACAGGCATTCCCTGTGTGGCACTAACTGGAAACAGCACCCTCTTCCACCATACCTTCCAACCAACTGGTGAAAAGGGGGCACCCATTTCTGGGGAGAACAATTAGATACAAGCACTTCTCTGGGAAGACCCTTCCCTGGAACAGACAATTCCTACCCGAGGGAGCAGCTGGGGGCAGAGTTGGAGAGGGGTTTCTTTGCTTAACTATCCAGCAGGGGATCCTCCTGAGAGGTGCTGCCTGAGGCCTGGGCCAGCCTTCTCCTCTGAGAGCTTCTAGTCTACCTACATGGCCTACAGTGTAAATTCTCAGTTAAGAACAAAACAAATGGTGGATAAGCTTTGGTGGCCTGCACAAGAGGTTCTGAAGGACAGTGGGACAGAGCTACTAAAGACAGAAAATAAAACCTCAATTCTCAGTTAAACTTCAATATTACATTAATAGTTGTCTAATATAGGTGAGTGTCATGTGGCATTTGGGACAGGCATATGAAAATGATTAGACAAAGTTCATCTGGGCATCTTACAATTTAACTGGCAACTGTAGGGGATATGTATGAATTATAGGTATGACAAGGGCAGATGGTAGTTTTGGCTAATGGGTGGATTCTAACAGGCCTGGAAGCACTTCTTTAGATCAGGGAGCTTTGGGAAGTATCAGTAAGGGACACCTGTCTGAGAGTAGACTCAGAGCAGAAGTCCAGTCTGAGCTGATTCTTTCTCCAGCTAGATTCTCCCCATCTGGCGCATTCTCTCCATTCTAACACACCCAGAAACCACTTCAGCTGCACTATTGAGAAAGGCGAAGAGGGAGCTGTGGCTCTCTAGACAACCAAGCATCTGCAAGAATACAGGTTTGGCTACACAGACAGCTGATTCTCCCTTCCTGTGAATCCCAGGGCAATCCCATCCACACTAGTACCACTGCTGAGTTTGGGAGCTACCTTGTTCCACTTTACCTTGTCTCCTTTGTGCTATTATGGGAACAAACAACAGCAACAAAATCCCCTCACACACACACATCAGGGGCTTTTAATTGTGGAGCCATTTCTACAGCCCCTAAAATAAATCTTTTTTGGTGGAGAGCCAGGTGTGGTCGCATATGCCTTTAATCCCAGCACTTGGGAGGCTGAGGCAGGTGTATATCTTTGAGTTCAAGACCAGGCTGGTCCACAGAGCCAGTTCCAGGACAGTCAGGGCTACACAGAAAGACTCTGTGACTTCCTTAGGAGAAAGCTACTATCCTATGCATTCTTACTTTAAAGGATGAGGAAAATGAGGCTCAGAGATTCCATCATTTGCCCAAGGTCATAGTTCTAGTAATGAAGGCAGGATTCAAGCCTGAATGCTGTAACTCTAGAACACAGCACTATCATACATAAGTGAAATGCATGAAATGTTCTTAGGTTCCTCACAGAAACACTTACTAAAAACTCTGATTCCTGGGCTGAGCTATAGCTTAGAGGTTAAGTATTTGCCCAGTAAGCACAAGGCACTGGGTTCAGTCTCCAGAACACAACCTCCCTTTCCCCTTCCAGAAACATTCAGACTTCTGAGGCTTACTGCAGACTTAAAGAATCACTAAACACTAAATACCAGAAGTGCCCAAGAGGAAATCAGCTCTGAGTTTTCCAATGGTTTTGTTTTTGTCTTCCTTCCTACCCCATCTTTGCTGGGTGGTTTCTGATTCTGACCCAGCAGTGTTGGTAGCATTCACCGCGTGTCCTCTTCAAAGACAGCTGCCTCCCCCTCCCCTTCCTCCTGCAGAACTTGGGGTTTGGCTCAGCTCCTTAGAGCCTCCCAATCCTCCCATAGTGGACAGAACTCTGGAACTCATGCCAGGCCTGGGCATGCTGTGTGCCAAGCGGGGTAGCTGTCAGCGGCCATTCCTCCTGTTCTGGCAGAGGGTCACAGCAGGTCTCTTGAATCAGGCAAGATGTATAAACCAGGACACGGAACCTTTAGGCCTCAGTTTCCCTCTGTATAACAACAAGAACAGCCAGAGTTGTCTTTGCACTTTCCTCCTCCCCGGGAAGTGTGCAGAACACAAAGTAGATTCTATCAGAAGGGATGGATTCTGGGCTCCCAAGTAAGTCAGTCACAGGAGGACCAGCCTCAAGGAGTCCCCAGACCAGCAAAATCTGAGGACTAGTGAGGACAGGAGAGGAGCTGGAGGGAGCTGGAGAGGCTTCCCTTGGGTGGTGCAAACTTTGGTGGAGACATGACTTACCACTGGCAGAGGCTGCTGAGCTTTGAGCGATGCAATTCCCCACTTTCTAGCAATCACCTCTGCCTATAACAGAGGGAAGCTCCCCTATCCAGCACAGTGGACATGGCCTCAGTCTAGGCGCCTTCACAAGTGCACCTGCCTATGTACTTTTGGATCTCTCTCTCTCTGATCAGGGAAAAGCAAGACATGAGGCAGACCTGGCTTTGAATTTTGGCTATTTTACCACATTGTGTGATCTTTGTAAATGAACAACTCTTGAGTTTCTGCCGTTTCTCAAGGGGGACAAAGAGAATTCTTGTCTTTTTTTTCCCCCATGCCCCGACAAGCAATGAGGAGTGAGCAGGATCATTAGTAATCTGAATCCTGCCAAGTACTGGTGATGGGTTGCACAGACACAAGTGCTCACCCCAGTCCTGTGCAGTTTCCATACCTGGGCCCACTCATAGCCCAGACGACATACTGCAGAACAATCACAGCGCTTCTTCCCTAAGCAGTGCTCAGTTCGGAGCAGCCCCACTGCCCCATCCCTCATCACAGCTTAGTAAAAGCGTCGGCTTCTTCTTGGTTTGTTTTGTACTCACACCAGGACCCTGGGGACGTGCGAGGAACACAATAAAAGCTGGGCCAGTCTGGCATTGTGCCCTACTTCCCTTCCACATAAAGGCTGTCTGCCCGCCAGGCATCTGGCCGGCAAGACTGGGCCAGTCACTTGCTAGCATCTGCTGCTTTGCTTAAGAGACCTGCTAACAGGAAAGTGTCTGGTTCCTTTCCACCCTAAACAGGAAGCGCCTGCCATGGTGGGAGGACTGGGTAGCCTCCTGCTGCAGCTGGAAGGCCTGCTCTCGAGGAAGGCTGCAGGCACTGGGTCCCAGGGACACCTCCCTTGCAAGGGGTGGAGTGATGACAATGGCTACATGCTGCCTGTGGCACTTGGCCCAGAGCAGCTGTCCTTTCAGCAAACACTCATGAGACACTCACTTGTGCCTTGGGAGACATAGGACAGTTCTCGGTAAGCTCTTCAAGTTGGAGGAGTTCACACATAAGCCAGAAAGGCAGGCCATTTCTGTGTGGTGCTGCTCCTATTTATGCATTCATTGCACACAGCCCCTACCCCCACTTCCTTTTAAAAAATGCATAATGTTGGAGCTGGGAGAGACAGTTGGCTTTAGTTGTAGAGTATTTATTGCTCTTCCAGAGGACCCGGGTTCAGTTCTCAGCACCCACATGGTAGCTCACAATCATCTAGAACTCCCCAGTTCCAGGGGATCTAATGCCCTCTTCTGATCTCTGAAGGCACCAGGCATGCATGTGATGCACATGCATACATGTAGGCAAAACACTCAATACACATAAAATCAAAATAAATAAAACTTTTTTAAATACCTACTGTTTTAGGTATTGTGATGGGGTGCTTTAGGTTCGGAGAGAAGTAGGCCACATATCACAGAACAAACTAAAAAAAATTGGAAAGCCTCGAATCCTGTGACTGCCACGGGATCTCACTGTGGCCTCGGTGTGAGTCTTCTGAACAATTACTTCATTTGGCTTCTACTTATGTGTCCTGTAGTTGACCATATTTTGAAAAAAGCAGCCAGAGAAATCCTGGCCAAGCAGGTCACACCTCTGCTCAAATAGCTCTGACAGTTTCTTCTCTCACCCGACTTAAATCTCCGGTCCTTAAAAATGTCCTTGCAAGGCTTGCATCAATGATGGAAGAGTTGGGGAGCTAACCTGGCAATAGAGGCAACATAGAAATTATCAGTGGCAATAGGACTACAGGAGCCATGAATTGGAGAACAAAGGGAGGGGGTGGTTTTTGGAGCCAGGGATCAGGGCTCTGAACATTTCCCTTCCTCCAGCAGGCAGGTGCTAGAGCTCAGGTCCCCAGTGGAACCTGAAGCTTGGCTAACTCCCTGTGGAGCGACCTTCGTTTCTCCTGGCTTTCATCTCCAGTCTGACTTCTTATCAGTTTCCCATTGACAAATGCTATGTTTTGTGTGTGTGTTTGGTATGTGTATTAGTGTGTGTGCACAGGTGCACATGCATATGTAGAGGTATGATATGACAAACTTTTCCTGGAAAGACAAACACACACACTTATTCACTCTAAGAAAGGAAATACAGGCCAATGTATAGATACACCAAAGTACAACTTGGTGAGCCAATGAGTTCCACTGGGGTTATTTACAGAAAGTATGGAGGTGGGGTTATGACTTAGAGGAACAGAAATCACTTGAACACAGCTACATCACCAAAACCCACTCTAGCATGGGTGCCGGCTCACAAAAGCTGGAAACCTGGTGCATACCGCACAGCCTGCAGGCAGCTCAACAGGCTGGAATGTGTCTTCTCCTAGTGCCTCTTCCAGGAAGCTGCCTTGTCTGAGAATCCTCTTTGCAGCTTGTCTTGTCTGAGAGCAACACTCAGGAGTCACTTACATAGTCTTAAGAAAAAAAAGCCTGGGACTTCCAGAAGTCATCTGGAATTATTTACCTACTATCTTAAGAAGAGTCTCTGCATGTAGAATGTTTCGATCCCTGAGAAAATTGCCACATAAAGAGGCCAGAGGTTAAAGTCCAATGTTTTTTTCCGTTGCTCTCCATTTTATTTACTGAAGTAGGGTCTCTCTCTGAAACCGGAGCACACTTGATTTGACTACTCTAGCTAGTCAGCTTGCCCTGGGCACCCCCTGCCTCCCAAGTGCTGGATTCCAGGCTGACCACCATTATGGCCCAGCATTGACATGGGTCCTGGGGATCCTAACACTGACCTTTGTACTTTTCTCCCCAGCCTCTTACTTACCAATTCCAGTGGCAGTAATTGCACAATCTTTAATCTAAAATATTTTTTTTTTGCATGGCTGAGGATTAAACCTGGTGCCTATAGCTTGCTGGGCATACAGCCAACCCAACACCCACCCACCCACCCACCCACCCACCCACCCATCATGGGGTGGATGAGGGGGTTGCAGGACTTCATGTGAGGCCATAGGGAATAGATCAGGGGCAGACAGGCCCAGAAACGAGACTTCCCAGAAACATTCTGCTGAAGCCGTTGTTCTCTTCTCTCAGTGTGTAGACCAAGGCCAGGCAAGCGAACATCACTAGAGAAGGGAGAGTCACCATGAAGCGTTAAATGGGTGAAGACAAAAGCTTGCTGTAGATATCATCAGGGCCCACTCGCTTCGTCTATGGGGCAATCACTCGGAAAGCAGAAGGGCACAGGGCTTCATCTGTGGTGGAGAAGGCCCTGGAACAGAGTAGACATGGGAGGAGCTTCGAGTTTGGCGAGCAGGGACACTGTGCACAGATCACTGACCTCAGTTCAAAGGTTGGCAGGATCTCTGCTTCTATTCCTAATTGACCATGTGATCTTGATCAACACGTTCACCTCTCTTGAGTTTCAGGGTTATCGTCTACAAAATACAAATCCGTATTTCACAAGTCTGTCCTGAAAATGAGATAATGGATACAGAAAACTGTCACTCCTAAGTTAACTTCCTCAGAAGCTCCCACGTTTCTTCTTTAACTAATTAACTGAGCATTAATTAATGTGTGCAGAGGTCAGAGGACAACATGCAAGAGTCAGTTCTCTCCTTCTACCATGCAGGTTCTAAGGAAAAAACTTACACTATCAGGTTTGGTGGTAAGTGGCTACCCGATGAGCCCTTTCACTGGCCCTCAGGTTTACCCCTTTTAAAATTGTGATGTCCAAAGTCATCCATAAAGCATAGAGCAGACAAGGCCTTTCAGAGTAGCTTCTGTCCCTGCCCCTCCCCCCCTTTTGAGATATGGTCTTTGTTGTCCAGGTTGGTCTCAAACTTAGGATCCTCCTGCAGCAGTTTCCCGTGTGCTGGGATTATACACATGTATCTCCATGTCTATGTGGTGCCCACTTCTGACATGGCATTTCTTCTCATCCCCCATCTCTACAACTCCAGTGACAAGCCAATCAGGGCTACTCACAATACCCCCAAGCGCTCTCTCTCAGGATCGCCAATGCACCCCGTTTTGCTTGGAATACCCACCAGCTAAATCCTGATTTTCCTTCAAAGCTTGGTTCAGGAGGCACCTCATGCGGGATCTTTTCTTGATAATCCTACCTTCCTATAGACGAAGTGTCCTATTTTCAGAACATCTTCCAACCCTAGAACATTCAATTCCAATAACTGGTAGGAACCACAGGTCTGCACCACACCAATTATGCGACTGTCGCTTCTGGAGGGTGGCAACTGGGTTTGTGTCTCTGTCTTTAGGACTTCCCAGGTTCTACGCACAGAGCAGGCCTTAGGAAAGGGAGACTGAATGAATAAGTGAATGAATAAGAATATAAACACAAGCAGTCAAAGATGAGCAACACTGCTTTCAAAATAATTTGTTTTTATTTTATGTACATTGGTATTTTGCCTGCATGTATCTCTGTGTGAGGGTGTCAGATCTTGGAGTTACAGACAGTTGTTAGCTGCCATGTGGGTGCTAGGAATTGAACCTGGATCCTCTGGAAGAGCAGTCAGTACTCTTAACCGCTGAGCCATCTCTCCAGCCCGAACAATACTGTTTTTTTTTCTTTAAAATTAAAAACAAAACAAAATAAAAAAACTAACCCAGATCTCTTTCTTCCCCCTGAGACCTGATTCTCTCCCGCTACTCCGCTACTGCACAAGCTCCTCTCTGGGTTATTTTTCTCATTACAGATGCTCAAGTTATATGACTCGTAGTAGTGAAAGACTTATTTCTTTAGTTTTGCTTGTTTGTACCCATCTGGAGGTTTATATATATATATATAAAATCTTCCGTCTATACAGTTAAGGGCATAATGAGGAGAAATGACCTCATGCCCTTTTCTGACCTCAAGTATCAGTTCTGAACTTGTTACTCCATCCCAATCTGTTCCCCATGGTCCCTATCCCAATGAGTGACACCTCCACCTGCCCATATGTGTATACTGAAAACCTAAAGCTCTCTGCACCAGCTCCTTGCATACACACTGATCACCATTTCTTCCGAAGTGTGCCCGTGATTTCTGTCCTTACCTCCACAGTTACTTTGAATCCAGTGCACTATGATCTCTCACTATAACCACTGCATTGGCTAATGGCATGATCTCTCTGCTTAAAATTTTGAATTTTGTTTTGAGGCAAGGTCTCTCTTTGTAGCCCTGTGTGTCCTGGAACTCACCATGTACACCAGGTTGGCCAAGAATTCAGAGGTCTGCCTGATTTTGCCCCCTGAATGCTGGGATTAATAGGCATGTGCTACCTCGATGGGCTGAAAAAAAAATATTTACCAGTGTTGGAAATTGAACCCAGGAACTCAAACATGTTAGGCCAGGCTTTAATACTGAACAATATTCTCAGTCGCCCCTCCTCTCAACACACACACACTTTTAGACGTTTCTCATCTCCAACCTGTTCTTCATTTTGTAGCTGGGAAATACGTATCTGATTTCACCCTTCTGAAGTCTCTAGTGGGTGGATCCACCGCCTTCAGGATAAAGTTCAAACTACAAGGTCTCAGCTATTTAGCCTCCTACTTTTCTGGCATATTCTAGTATTCTCCCCTGCAGGCGACACTCCAAACATATCAAGCTACTTGTTATACAACTCTGGACAGATCTTCTGCCCTCTTCTTCAACTTGATTAACTCATCACCCAGGCTTTGGTTCAGCTGTCTCACTCGGGGAAATGGCCTTCTCTTAGTTTTCCAAGCCCTTTCTCCAATAGAGTTTACTGTACAGCGTTAGGTTAAAGCCCTCAGCAGTGGGGTTGGGTTACTAGACTTCCAAAACACGACCTCAGTCTGTTCGTTTTTATCCGCAACCAGGAGGAAATATTTCATCAGTTGCTGCGCGAATTAAATGAGATGATGTAAGACGCCGACCAATAGCTGTTATTATATAGGATTGAGAAAGCGCGATTCCCGCACCACCTTATCCCCGGGGTCAGGTTTGCGCGTGATTTAGACTGAACTCGCGTTTCTGTCCTCCTCTCACCTTGACTTCTACCGGACAAGGCAGTTCGAGCAAGCCTGGAGGTGATCCGGTACCGAGCTCGTCACGACTTTCGTCCCGCGCGCTCCTCAGACTCGGAACGCCCCCAAGTGGTTCAAGCTCTGCATCAAGAGCCGGAGCGAGGCCGGTCACACCATTCCCGACATTAGAGGAAAGAAACCCGTTTCCCAAGTCAATAGTTCTGACTAGGAAAAAGGGCGCCTCTTTCGCTTTCACAACTCACAATTCTACCCGTCCCAAAACAATTAGAACTGGGGTTGTAAACGGGACGGAGCGAGCCGGCCCTGCCGCCTCCCCCTAGCCCCACGAGGGCTTTGGTACTTTCCTTTCTCAGTTCCCTCTCAATAATGGTACGGTCGCGGAGGGGCGATCCGGGACGGACGCTGGGGTCGACGGACCGGAGCGGCGTAGGACCACCCCTCCGGCCGCGGCACGGTGGTATCGCCCTTCGCGCGCTGATTGGCTGCCGCGGTCCCGCAGTCGGCCTCAGCCCGCCGCGCCGCCCTCAGAACAGCTCCAGAAGCTGCGCCGCCTGACTCTTCGTTTGCCTTGTTCTCCGCGGGCCGTGAGGGCTCCGCGCCGCGGCTCTTAGGCATGTCGGGTAGGTGACGCCTCCGGCGAGCAGCGGCAGCGGCGAGGAGGGGTCCGGCGGGTGCTGGCCGTCTTCCCGCCCACCGGAGGGCGGCGAGGGAAAGCCTCCGGCCCGAGGGAGGCGGGAGGGGGGGGGCGGCCGTGGCGCCGCCATGTTGGACTGGAGGCACGCACGCTCCCAACGCTCCCTGGCTACGAATCGCGGCGGGAGAGCTCTGAGCCTTGTCTTTTGACCCTGCCCTTGGAACCTGCGGAGACGCGCAGCTCCCTGGGGAGGGGGTGTGTGAGTTGGGGGTTGGGGGGACGGAGGCCCGCCTGCACCATCACAGGGGCGGGGGAAGTCGGGATGTGAGCAGCAGCTCCTGGTCCTCAGCTGCGAGCGCCTCGGGTCTCTCAGCGAGGCCTCTGGCCGGTCGTCTCGCCGCCTCGTTCCTCAGCTTCCCCATCCGAGAAGTGGAGCTGGGCCCTTCCCGACTCACGCATTCATCAGGTGGGGGTCCAAGGCTCGGGGAGCACAGCACATTACCTTGCACGCAACCCGCTCGTACGGGTCATTCCCTCTGCTGTAACCACCGGGATTGATTGGGGTTGGGGGATTTGCGTATCCGACTTCACCTTTGTACTCCCTCCTCCACCTGTTCATCTCCTGCACCGAAATGTGAGCCTTGACAGTTGACGGTGAGCACTTTCAGGTCTTCGTGGCATTTCCCTTAGAACAGAGAGACCAGAGGAAAGACAGCGTCTTCCTCGAAGTGATATTTATGGAGGCCACGGATGTGTGGAAGAGAGGCATTTGCCTCTCCCGGACAGCCAGTTTGATCCTGTTAAACCAGAATTTAAAAGTCCTCCTGATTCTAACTGGTCCAATTGATCATACAAGGGCCTTTATTGTTGGGCTACATTTACAGGTGGCAGAGACAGGCCACTTGATCTTAGAAGCGAGCATGAGTTCGTGCTTTCCTTCCGAGGGACATTGCCGAAAGCCATATGGCTGGAATGAAATATGCCCTTTGGTAGTTTTACATTTACCTATTTACTGGAGACAGGATCTCATTATGTATCCTTGGCTGTCCCGGAACTCGATGTGTAGACCAGGCTGGCCTCGAGCTCAGAGATCCATCTGCCCCAGCCTCCCAAGTTCTGGGATTAAAGGCATGAACCATACACCCACCAGTTTTTTTTACACTTCTGTTAATTAGCAATCCTTTTTAAAAGGTTTCCCCAGTCCACCAGGGTGTGTGTGTGTGTTCGTCCTTTCGTTCATTTGTTCATTCGTTCAAGGCAGCAGCAGTGGGAGACGATTTCAAATGAGTAGGAAAGACTGGGCAGGGGAATGATCTTTCCTTAGATTAGTGTTGATTCTAAGGAGCTCTAAGCTTTTTGGGGGGCGGGGATAGGATATCTGCCTGATGGACAGGGCTAAACTGTACTGAAGTTAGCTCTTCAAATTTTTCCAAAGTAGACATTGGTATGTCTGCTACCAGGTTTCATAATTCGTCATGATACCTGGTAAAGGTCCAGAAGAATATGTACAAATGCTTCCTTAAAAAGGGTATATGACTGTAAAAATAAAATTCTACTCTCATGTAGAAATTTACCAACATTAGTGCAAGCAGTGATCAGTAGCAACTCGGGATTGTTTGGACAGGATCTTCAGTATATCTCCAGGCTGGCCTTTAATTCATCATCTTAAACAGTCTCCTGAGTGGGATTACAGGCTTGCTGTACCTTGCCCAAACTCTGTTGGTTTTTTTAATGTAATTATTCATATAAGACAGTGACATTTTTATAGGACTGAGTAATTTCAATAGAAAACTTAAATTTAGAGACTTAAGTTAAAATCTTTTAAGATCTTGTTAGTGTTATAACAACATGTTTTGTGATATTTGTGTAAAATACTTTGACTTTTGTGTAAAAGTGATGCTTTTGACTTGTTTTTTAATGCGTGTTTAAATTAATAAACTTAACAGAATTCACCCCTAAGCAACTAGTATCATTAATAAGTTACATTCTTTAAACATTCCAGACTACACTTAGAAATTTGACTCAACTAATCCAGATGCTTGCTGTGTCAGATTTTCAAACATATTAAAATGTAATCATTTGGGCTGGAATTAATGGAATTTAAGCATGCACAAAACTTAAGGATTTGATTGCTTGCATCAGGGGAAAGCGATGTATTCATAGCATTCTGTCAATAAGTCAAAATTACTATCAGTGACGTTCAAAGTTATTTGCGAAAGTGAATTACCAGAGCTTTTGAATTAAAATCACAAGTAAAATATTAGTTATATATAAAATAAAGTCAAGCAGTTAGGACAGCTCAAGGTATCTTATTTTCTATATGCACCTCAAAAAAAAATAGACAAAAATTTGGGAAGGCTAAAACCCATAGTAAAAATGGAAGTAGAATCCAGTATGATATGCATAGAGCTATTTTGGCAATTACCTCCAGGGAGTATAGGCCTTGTATGGTGGTTTTATTATCTAAGGGTGGGTGATGCAACCTTGAACTGTTAGCCCGATAATGGAAACTGAAACCCTTATAAATCTTGGGTTTACAGGTAATTGATGTGAAGGATTGTGTCCTTCAGTGAAGAAATCAACAAAGAGGAAAAAAAATCCTAGTGTACGTGTTAACGAGGAAGCTTAGACACAGTAGAATCTTGGAATTTGTAGCCCGGAACCTCTTACTTCTTTTAAGTTACTCATTTAGCCTGTAGGAAACCTTAAAACGATGTAACATAAAAATAAAAAATCTGGACTGATTAACATCTTTGGGTTCCTGGTTTAAAAAAGTAAAACAAAATGAAAACTGGAGGAATTCTGATAACATAGATCACAGAGAATCTGAGGAAATGTAAACCTTTCAAAAGGTGAGTTCATGGTAAAAATTGAACACAAGGAACAGGTGTCAAAAGAACAAATGTTTATATGTTGAAGATTAAAAAACTGAAAGAATGAATCAGGACTGGAGATGGCTCAGTGGTCAAAAGCACCAGCTGCTTTTTCAGAGGACCCAGGTTCAATTCCCAGTGCCCACATGGCAGCTCACAACTATCTGTAGTAACTCCAGTTCTAAGGGATCTGACATCTTCACACCAATGCACATAAAATAATGTTAAATTTAGAAAAAGTTAAAAAAGAATGAATTACTGTTAAGACCAACATATTATGTGGAAAGGCCACATAGATTTGAAAAAGAAACAAAATACAATTTTTAAAAATTACATTAATGTGCGGGTGCGAGTGTGTGCCTTGGTGTGCCTGTGAAAGTCAGGACAAAGACTTTGTAGTACAAGATATTAGACTCAGAATGTCAAGTTTATGTCGTGTATGTTTACATACTGAGCCATTTTACCCTTTCCCTCTCCCAAACATAATTTTCAAAGATGGGAGAAGTGAAATAGTGAACTTAGCAGAATTATAAATGTAGTTGTAATCTGTCTTCCAAAATTCACTTTAGAAGGATAGAGATGAAAGTGAAAGTTGGTGGGTATGGTGGTACATACCTGTCATCAGTATTCATGAAGCTCAGTTGGGAAGGTTTCTAGTTTTAAACCAGCATGAGCAACATAGGAAATTCTTGCCTTAAAAAAAAAAAGCTGGAAAAGTTCAATTGTTCTTTTTTATTTTTTATTTTTTTTTTATTTTGAGACAGGACCTCACTAGCCCTAGATGTCCAGGAACTCACAGAAATCCACCTTCCTCATCAGTACTGGGATTAAAGGCAGACAAGCCTAAGGAGTTGAAAGTTTTAATCAAGCATTAGTTTCAAACATGCCTAAAAATAATTTCAAAATCTATAAGATTACAGATTATAAAATAATAACCCATAAAAAAACAGTTTGCAGAGGGACCTTGAAGCTGTTGCTGCTGCTCGTGGCACAGAGAACTAGAGTTGGTTACCAGTGTCTGTATCTCGAAGCCCACAGTTACCTGTGTCTCTAGCTTAGAGAGTCTTACACCCTCTTCTGTCTTGCATGCATATATACATGCTCTTTCACTTTTTATTTGGACACATAAATAAAAGTCTGCTTAAAAAGGTTTTAGACTAATGTCCAGAGGGAAAATAGCCAAAGACCTTGAGTTTTCTACCAAATAAACTAGCGCATAGTCATACTGATCTTTGCCAAAAGAATTAATGTATAGAAAGGAAGAAGAATAAAAATTGCAAGGAAAATAAGGGCACAAAATTTGATTTGCACTAGGATAGTAAAGTCTGGGTGTTTTAGTGGAGGTTGATAATTTTGAATTTCGTCAAGAAAATATGCCAAAATTTATAAGGCCATGGAAATGGAATATAAAGAGAATATAATAGAAAGTAGGAAAGGAGTTAAAAGAAAAAGGAAAAGCTATGGTAAATAGAAAATTCTAATTTAAGATGTCAGCTACAAGTGAAAATAGAAAAAACAGCCCACCTAAAGCACAAAGGTAAAAGCACAGTGCTAAAAAATTACCTAGATAAATGCTGTTCAGAAATAAAGCATATTAAATAGGTTGGAGGTAAGATGGAGAGAGTAACCAGACAAACATCAGCTGAAATGTAGTTGTCTCTTTGAAGCTACTGTAAATGTTGTTTAAAGGAAATTCTTAAGCCAGGATTTGTGGCTCGAGCCTACAATTCCAGTATTTGGGCCACAAGTTGGACATACCTAGTTGTCTTAGAGTTTAGAGTTGCTGTTTTGAAACACTGTGATGTAGCTGCAGACTTTTTTCTTTTCTGCGCAGTCCCACTGGACCAGTTTCTCTCCTACCTGCTGGTTTCTGCAGCCACTTGTTAGATA